TGGACGAGTTGTATAGCACAGATAGACGCGACAAGACCAATACAAATTGGTTGGTAAGGCATCATGAGTGGGTCATGTTGTGGGTGGATCGACATCGACGCCTTTCCCGTAGAGAGCCCATTTTTTATGACCTCTTGATGGTTGATGACGGTTATTATGATTGGTTCAACAGAAACGGGAAACCGTTTCTACTTCTCGAGGATGCACAAGGGCAGGCCTTTCCACGATGTTGACAAAGATGTTCACCGACACAGCACCATCGTCCCCCGACTCGTGGACGGAGAGCAGGTGTTTTTGGTTCATCCTCAGCTGCACCAGCAGGACCTTCACAGCAGCCACTGTCTGCAGTGACTTACATACCGCAACCATATGTTATACCGCCACCGCCATTCCCTTACCTGATGTCGCCGTCGCCACCATCACTTGGTTTTATGATCCCGCCGCCGCCACCTTCACATAGTTATATGACCCCTCCTGGAGGCTATTATGGGTCTATGTTTGCAGACCCGAGTTGGGGTTCATATACTGGATATTTGGCGGGTGCAGCCTCATCACCCATGGTCGCAGTACAGACTCCTCCTGTACAATTTTCACACTCAGGGATGTCTGGGTTTAATGAGTTTTCCCAGTTTTCGCAGGCCGGAGAGATAGTCAGTCATACACCTCCAGGGTCCTTATTCTATGGAGGTGTTTCATCGTCATCAGCTCCTCGTCAACAAAATTTAGCTGCTCAGGACGACGACGATGACGACGATGATGGTGATGATGATGACAGCGAGGAGTCACAACCAGTGATACGAAGAAATCCTCCTCGAGACCGACAACCACCGCCTTGCGGTACACATTCGCGTAACAAGCATCGATAGATTTTTTTATTATATTTGTATTTAGTACTTTTTATTGTAGTTGTTTATTGGACTTTTTTATTGTATTTTTTTTATTTATCATTTAATGTTTACTTTAATTCGTTAATATGGTTGGATTTATTTTAATTTATTTTGATAAATTTGTTGGACTTTTTGTTAATTTATTTTGCTTAATTTTGTTTATTACCATTTAATATTAGTTATTGTAATTTGGTTATCATTTACCATTTAATACTTTTTGTATCGTTAATATCAGTTATTTGTTAATATAACACCAACATTCAATCTCGTATAATTGTATCATTTTTTTTAATCTTCGTCAGCGGTTATCGAATAACATTAACTTGAATTAAATGCAAATTAAAGTACAATAATTATTAATTGATAAACAACTACATCATTTCCACATCAATTGTTACTTGATGACAATAGAAGTGGACATGTTTTTCTAGTGTGTCCTGGGTTTCTACAATGTCCACATCTTTTGTCTTGTCTAGATGTTTCTCGAATATCCATATCGCAATGAATTCGATTGGATTTTGGATGACCACGCTCCCTCAATAAACTCATATTTGGTACAATCTGAAGCCAATTTTGAACCTCATCAGGGTCTTTGTCATTACCTATGGGGGGAACTCAAATTCGTATACCTTAAAAACTTCAGATAGTAGGTATACGTGATCCACAAAATGGTTATAGTCTTGACGTGTATGCGAGCAAGCTGCTATCACATAAGAGCATGGATATTTCAGAGCTTGAAAAAACCCGCAGTCGCACGTTCTATCCCTTAGATTTACTCTTAACGACACAACTTCAACCCCTTGAAGAGGTCGCGACAACTCTGTGACATGAAAACATTTCATGCCTTCTAGAGAAACTTGTTACAAATATCTCATTTGATGCAGCAATTTTTTTTCTATAGATCTGCAACTAATCTAGTGTGATACACATGACCGCCTTGCATTCAGGTTTGAGCTTGTCCCCCGAGCTCAAGTAATTGATGTTCATCATTCTTATTGTATCTTCCATGGTAGTTCGCAGCAATGTGTCGGAGATAATACCTATGTTGGACAAAGGGTGGTTGCCACATTGGACCCAAAGAATCCATTGCTGCTTTGATCCCAGCTCCGCGATCTGAAATGACACAGATTTTTTCCCTTGTGATAACATGTGCACGTAAATTTTGGAGGAAAAAAGCCCAAGAATCTGTATGTTCTCCTTTGAAAAGAGCAAAAACAACTAGAAGAATGTTGCGATTGCCATCTTGGACAACTGCCAATAATAAAACTTGTTTGTATTTTCCATACAAGAAAGTCCCATCGATCTGGACTACAGGCTTGCAGTATTTGACAGCATTAACGCACTGTGAGTAAGTCCAAAAAACCCGGTAGAATTGGCATCAATCGCGGAGAACTCGATCATTATGGTATGCATAGTAGGTTTCGAAGTCCACAATTGTCCCAGGATTCAACCTCCGCACCAGCCTAAACCAGCCTGGAAGTTCGTTGTAAGATGCATCCCATTCGCCATGAAGTTTGACAATGACATTTTGTTTTGCCAACCAATCTTTTTTATAAGAGACAGTGTATCCATATTGCGATTGTATAGCTGAAATCAATACAACAACAGCTATATGAGAGCTTGCTTTTACCATGGGCATGATGGCCTGGCATATCACTTCAGAGCCCAAGTTGGTATGATCTTGGTTGACCCCTCCAGCACAACATGTGTGAGGACCGTTGTATATTGTTAGTTCCCATCTGTTGTTTTTCCTCTTCCTCTTCGATACGGGAACTATCCAATTGCATCTATTTTCGCGTCAGGCACAATAGCATACATATTTTTCTGTCGTGGAGCAGTCGACTCTCGATTGAACAGAATTACGGATATTGTAATTTTTTATAGCCATCATCGCTTCTTCTTTTCTTGAAAACTCCATGCCTAAATATAACTCACCATTATTTATTGATGAGTAATATCCATAGTCACTGAGATGAGGCATATCCGCAAATTCTGGCCCATACATTACACCATAATCAGCTTCATACATGTGTGTTGGAGGGTCAGTTTGTGCCACGTTTGCTGGAACTTCATCCACATCATCATCATAATCGAAGTTGAATTGCGGTGAATCTAGGTGAATGAATAGTCCAGTCTCAGCACCATCCGCACCAGGTTCGCGAAGCGGTTCTTCTGGTGGAGATGATGGTTCCTCGATGCTCTCCACATTTAGGTCGAAGAACCTACTACTTGCACGACGTCCCTTTAAACTGGAAGGCATATCGACATTCAGATCGAAAAAGCTCGCAATCGAATGCTTCCCCCTGGAGCTTGAAGCCATGGTGTCAAATGGAAACTGCACAGATTGTTGCGTCGATGGCATCTCCATATTAAGGTCAAAGGGATTTGCAGATGAATGCCTTCCCCTTGAACTGGACGCGATGTTGCCATACGGATTGTTCATCGACCCACCTGGGTACATATCGTAAGGAGTTGCAGATGAATGTCTCCCCATTATGGCATTAAAATCATTACATATTACTGTCATCGGGTTGTCAACTTGATCAACTTGTTCAGCCAGCCCATAGTGGGAGCTTAATGATTGACTCCGAACAGCACGCACTTGAATAAAATTTGCATACATCTCAATATCGGCGTCTGAATAATTACTTTGAGCTTCAACCATCATTTCAACATCATCATTGTTCAAAAGTTCAAACGTTGTATAAGTTAATGACAACAATGATGTTGGAAATCTGTACTGCAACGATGACATTCTTATATTACTTCTAACATGAATCTTCCTCGAAATCTTCGTTATCAGCACCTCAAGAGTTATGTTTCTCTTCAATGATAGTTTAACACGCTCATTTGATACGAAAATAACGCCGGTTTCATCTTCTCGAATTTCTCCATCATAATAAACAATAGCTGAAAGTCGCGTCATTCTTTGAGTTTAAAAATGCGGCAATATTATATCTGCAAAAAAAACAACTGAAACAATGTTGATTAAATAAATAATATATGAACGAAAATATAACACAATAAAAATTTTACACATAAACATAAATAATTTAAATAATATAATTTTATATTATTACCTATACCGCAAAATTATTTCGACGTATATTTCCGCTTTCTAATTTTACAAACACAGAAATTAATTGACAACAATTAGTATAATATTTTTTCAAATAATCATAATAAGCAATAAGTATAATAAAAAAATTTATCACAAAATTACCTTATAACGAAAACTCGCACGAACTTTTGAATTAAATATGAGAAGATTGTTGGATTGTTGTATTAATTTTTTCTAATCGAGAGGAGATGTGAGGAGTTACCCCGGGGAAAGGGTATTTATAGCCGAGAAAAGCTACAAGACGCGGTACCTGCACCGCGCCTTACATAATTATATCAGATAAAGCTAAGGCACGGCCCCTGTTCCGCGCCTAATATAATTGTGTTAAAGGTAAGACGCGACCCCTGCCTTGCGCTATACTCCTAGGTGGCCTAAGGCTTTCCCCCGGGGCCGCGCTTTACACACGTGTATACCATGTCAGCATAAGGCGTGCTTAAGGGGGGGCCTTACCCCACGTGACACCAACTCAGTGTAAAGCGCGTTTCAGGGGCCGCGCTTTTCTGCAAAGGGTGTTAGATCGGGAAATATAGTCTGAACGGTGCCTGATCGGGAAATATACTGTTCAACGGTGATATATCGGGAAAATCGCCTGACTAATGAGTAGCTCTAAAAGGAAAATTAAACTTATTGACTATTACTTGATTTAATAAATAAAACATTATATTTATTTAATAATTTTTAATATATAAATTTTATTTATATGAATACAATATTTTATAAAATAAAATTTTAAAATCAAATAATCGTATCAAAAAATGGATGTTTAACGGACAAACCATCCATCTCAATCCCCAAATATACAAGATTTTTAATGTTCATCTGCACATTCCCCACCAACACTTTCCTTATATTACAATTCCACGCCTCACTCAAAGAAAAGTACACTTTTAGAAACACCTCCACACATTGAATTTTCCTTTTAATTTCTACAGATTTTTTATTTATTTATATGGACGAATTGGATAATGTGAATCCTCGGGCTTGTTTGAAATCATCACTACAATGGTTTCTTCATCGAAAACGATCCACTTTTCTCTTGCATCATCACTCTTTCCATTTTGATTCTCGTCTATTTTCCTCATGGATTTTCTCTCCTTTTCTCTCCGGTCCTCGTTTTGACAGCTTCCCTCTTGCTTTCCCTCCTCCATCTCGGTGCCACCCAGAGAATCCAAACGGAAGCCATACAGAAAGGAAGCGTTGTTGCAAGTGTTGCAGAGCTTGAAGAAGAAGAAGAAGAAGAAGAAGAAGAAGAGCTCAAATGGGCGACATGCAAAGATGACCCTGACCTTATAATGCAGAGCTTCGAGGAAAGGTTCGTCGAATGGGACGTGACAGTTCCGTTAGAGGTTATATATGAAGAAGGAGACGAAGAAGAAGGGAATGATCCGAATTTGAATTTGGATCGGACCCGCGGTATTGAGATCCGTCCTTATCGCTTTACTATCCGGAATCGGATTCAGATAGTTCACCGGAGGAGGAGGAGATTGATTTTCCGGTTATCGGAAAATGGGTTCCGTCGGAGAAGATGGGTTATCGATGGGAAGAAGAAGACAGAGAAGGTTTGATTGAGATAGCAGTCAATAGGAGAGAGTTTGATTTTCATGGAGAAGATGATAATTTGATAGAGATTGACATTTCTGAAGGTTGGCTACTATGAATGTTGCATTAATCAAAGGATTACGTTTAATTAGACGAGTGATTTGCTCTTGATTTTCCCCTTTTTAAGCAAAAGCCCATTTGGGTGATAAGGATGTGGCATACAAAATGAAATATCTATATATATTTATAACCTTATATTTCTCATGTTAGTTGTCTTGATTTTGATCTTATAAAAGTTCATAATCTTATAAAATTAATGATCAACGTGTTGTTATTATTATCCTATATTTTATGTTAGTATTCAAATCTGAATTCATGCGATTCATAATTCAATGAGCTGTGTATCTTTTGGGGAAACTATAATCTTCATTTACAACAAGATTTGATTTGTGCCAAATTCGATGCGTTAAATCATAAGAACAAATAGAAAAGAAACCAAACAATGAGAGATCAATCAACAATGATTTTTCATTTTTTCTTTGCTTTTTCTATCTTTTATTTATATACATAAATAAATAAATAGCATTAGGACAAAACTACTTTATAAGTAAAAATGGGTTGTATCCCTCCAAAATTAGGTTCTTCGTACTTTTAAAATTAAGGAATTTAAATTTTGTTTTTAAAATTATATTTATATGCATAGTGCTCATGACTCATGAATTTTGATGTCTATGTGAATATAAAGTAGTATATATACAGAACTTTCTGAATCAATTAACAATGTATATGTATTCTATAGACGCAGCTACCCGAACTCAAGACTTTTAGGAAGATTAATATTCTTGAGACCAATTCACGAGTTTAAAGATCTAAAGTTCTAATAGCATAATGTGTTAATGGAGATGAAACTATATTTGGGTCCAAATATCTTTTGATGATATCGGAGTTTGTGGTAATATGGCTCTTTTCATATGTTATAATCGCACTAAATTTGCTCTTAGGTCCCTACAACTTTCCTCATTGACTCCAATGCATTTTTAAAATTGTGTGTTATTGCACAATCATTTTCCTGATTAGGTCTCACTTTTCAAATATGCTTTGCTTATAAATTTGGTCACCTAATTCTGTCTTTCACATCATAATGTAATTATAATTGCAAATGAAGTTCTATTTCAATGCACCTTTGGTGGAGGAAGAGCCCTTAGGCCTTATGGGTTCAAAGTGGAGTAATGTAAAGCGATGTTCTGTATCTGTCACAACGCAATTTGGTTTGTTGGATCATTTCTTGAGACAAATCAAACTTTGACTTCATTTTGTTACTATTTATATCCTAATAAAATTTAATCTTGATGGCGTCCCTAGTTGTCACCTTAAGGTGTATCTATAGAGATTGAAACATAGATCTTTACACACAGAAGAGCACATTCTGCAAAGCACTAATTGCTTTATGAACTCTTTGAGTGTCCTTTGGATTAACATAAAACCATGAATCTGCAGGAAGCAACATTAATACCCCATTTTTGCATGTTTTTAAGTTCCTTTCACGTCAAAGCAAAAAGAGAAAAGAGAAAACCCACCTTTGATTTTACCATTACTCATCATTTCAGCTATGATAAAGGTACACCAAAAGTTATTGGGCGATTATCAAATAATCGATAATAAACTAGATATTGATAATTATAAAAAAAAAACTAAACCTCACTTAAATACGACTTGGAAAAGTTAGGTATGGTGAAAAATAAAAGGGAAATTTAGACCTCTTTGCTATTTGATAATTTAAGCTTGTTATTGCAAACACTACAGCAGAAGTAGTCTATAGCGGCTTTTTTTGTCCCATAGCGGCGTTTAAAAGCGCCACTAAAAATGCTGTCGGCGCAAAAAAAATGTCACAAAAAACGCTGCTATTACAAACGCCGCAACTGTTAGCGGCATTTTTTTACTTATAAACGCCGCTAAAAGTCAAGTTATTTAGCGGCTTTTGAGTATACAAACGCCGCTAAAGGTCATGTTATATTGTGGCGTTTTAGAATACAAATGTCGCAATATGTTTGATATTTATAAACATTTTGCAGAAACATGTTCAATATTTATTGGCGTTTGTGAATAAATATTTTGCAGCGTTTGTAGTAAAATACACCACAATATATTTGATATAAAGTGGCATTTGTATTTACAAACGCCACAATAGATTTGATATGTAGCGGAGTGTCTGACAGAAACGCCACCATAAGTTGGTCATTTAGCGGCGTTTAATCATAAAAACGCCGGTATGTATGCACTCTATTAGTGGTGATTTGCCCCTAAAACGCTGCTAATCGAAATTAATTTTAACATATCTTTTTTGTATTTTATATTACCCAAATTTAAACTGTAACAATATCCAACAACGTATAGCAATTTATTTAAGATTCGAATTAAGTAATAATACATAAAAACATAAATAAATCAAAGTTTACAAACATTGAAGTTAAATATAATGTAGTTCAACATTTTTCAATAACATAAAGTAAGCATTAAGCTAAGAAAACACCTAGGATGACGAATTCTTCATTTGATTCTGTTGCATCATATGCCTCATAGCTTCAATTTGTTGTTGAAGTTCTTCATATTTTCTCTGAAATAATACTTCTCTCTCTGCTTCTCTTACTGCTCTCACTGCTTCTTTTGCTTTATCTTCGGTTCTCATTTGAGCAATTTTTCATCAAATTCACTCAGCTGTTGTTTTAATCGAATAACTTCTTGTTGAGAAGACTGTCTGTTTGATAACATGTACTGAGACGAGTTGGATCCAAATAATTTGGTTGGAGTAACAAATGATCCCTGACAGTGAACTCGACCATATCTTTTAGGACCGAAAACTTCAGCAATAACTTGATTTTCAATCTCCTCTGCATTAGTAGAAGCATGGGATGAAGCTGTAGCTTTGTATTCTACCCTTTATCGCTCAATTTTTCCTGATAATCAGTTTAGAACGTATAACAAATTCAATAATTATTTAAAATACACAATTTTATATTATCAATATAACAGAATGCAAATTTTATGTCCAGTAAATATACCATAATATTTGCAGCTTCAGGAGCCATAGGAGAACCATCTTTTTTTGTATGTGTGATTTCAAAGAGTTGTATTCGACCAACTCTACTGCTTGACGTTATTTCCTACAATGTAAAATATAAATTAATACTTACAAAAAAGTAAGAAAAAATAGAAAAAATGGTTAAAAACTATATGCTACCAACTTAAAATGACTATATTAATAATCATAATTAAAATGTGAATACCTGTTCATGAGCTACACGAGCAAAGCTTTTCGATTCAGCAGTGTGAGTAAACTTTTGTTATTGTCTACTAGCAATACCAACGTGCTCTCGGTCCTACAATTTGAACTCCACATGATTAATAAAGTCAATAATTTAGTGACATAATATTATTTTCAAAGTGCGTCATACCTCTCATTTCTTTGAACTCTAAAACCTGATTGTACATTCTCATTGATATCTGAGGATTCCAGGTGGGACATTTTGCATCTTTCCTTCAAGGTTGATGTTGTTCTTAAAATATTTCTTTTTTAAGAAACTCTTGTGGTCTCTCCATTTCTTTCCTAATGCTTGCTTCAAATATTCATCTGAGACCTCTAACAAAAATTTCTCCTATAATTTATACAAGTGTTGAAAGTAAATATATATTACTATTGAAGTACAATGTATAATTTTTACAATGAAATTATTACCTTAATGCAATCCATAGCCTGTTTTTTGCTACTATTCGGCATCGCACGCCATGACTCATAATTGATCGGTAGAATACTTGCATTTCGTACAATTACGCCTAGATAACCTGATAGAACATGTGCTTCTGTCCCAATAGATTGATTGACATCGTTACTTGAAACTCTAACGCGGTCCCCAAGAGGAAGTTGGTACAATTCCTTCATTATCGTACGACCTCTACTCTTGCGCCTTTGACTATTTTCAACTACATAGGAAATAATTTAGTGTAGTTTTTCAAAATCAAGTCAATAAGAAAATCAGTCTACAGTTTTTTAAATGGTCTTCGGCTCTTCTATAGATCCAACACCAATTGACTCTTCATTATTTGTTTCTTCATCCTCTGTAGGATCTCGAACAATCCGCAGATCACTTAGTTTTCTCCTATGCATAATATATGCATTAAACAAACAACAATATTAGTAAATACCGACAACAATACTAGTAATATATATATTCAACGACATCAACATATATAAATAATAACATTATAAATCACTCAATTAAGATATAACATCTAACTACATTGTTATGTCATACCAATTTTCATAAATATCTTCATCCATGTCATCCCGGACTGTAATATCCCAAAATCAGGGCTAGTGACTAAAATAAAAGTTTTGAAACTTTGAGGCCTGATTCTAAAAAATTTAAAAGTCTAGGGACTTAATTGGGAATATTTTGTGAAGGATTGTTTAGTAAATATTTGATGGAGTAAGTGATAAACTGGGCTTTTCACATGAAAGATTTTTATTTTCCCTTTATAAGGAATTAACCACGTGGAGTTTGGGTGAAAAGAAAGAGAAGTCTAGAATTTCTTCTTCCTCCTCTTCCATTAAGCCTATTTTAAGGAAAGTTGCTTTCAAGTTGTTTGTTCTTTGAATTTTTAATATGGTTTTGATTCTTGGAGTGTTAAGAAAGCTTAAAGAAAGGCTATAGTAGTTAAAACTAAAAGCTGAGGAAGTTATGGAAGAATTAATATAAGGGGTTGTTAAGTGAAATTGTGGAAAATATTTAGTAAATGAGTTTTGAGATTAAATTTGACTTGTCATCGGTTAGAACAAGAAGTTTAAGGTGTTAGAAATGAAATTAGATTATGTTGAATATGTAGTGAGATTATTGGTTTCAAGAATTTGATTGGGATATTGAAGATAATGATGTTTGATATGGATATAAGATGGTTTTAGGAAGTATAGTTGAGTTTAGTAGTATGAATGGAGTAATAAATGGAAGGTATAGGTAAGTATGAGTGAATTTTTGAGTTTAAAAGATGAATTTTGGGCATGGGGTATCGGTACTATTCATCCAGTACCGATACTTCAAAGTAAAATAAGTAGGAATTGAGCTTGGGGTATCGATATTGAAGGAACAATATCGATACCATATGATATAATTGGATGAAATATTTAAAGAAGTATCAATACCTAAAGGATGGTATTG